GAGAGAGAGAGAGAGAGAGAGAGAGAGAGAGGTGTTAAGGATTTTCAAAGGATAACTTGAGCAATTGAATAAAAACATCTAAAAAGTACAAATATTGTGCATTGGTCCTGATGAAGCCAATGGAAGTTGACCAGCAAGCACATGATTTTTGTAAATATCCCAAATTACTCTGTACAATTGACGTGGTGATCCCCCAAATAATCTCCTGTTGAAAGCGACAATAGTCATTTTTATATACAAGTCCGCAGAAACCTTAGTTACATAAATACATGTGTTTCTGCACTAATTAATGCCAACCATCTTGTTTTCTAGGAGCTTTGGCACATGCCACAACGCTCCCTAAAGGCTCAATAATTTATCGATGGAACAGATAGATTTTGATGAACTTCAAGTACATTTTGATAGCTTCACTAAGTTCAGATTTTGCTTTTCAGCTTGCGTTTGTAGATAAAGCTTCAATAAGTTCAGTTCTTGCTTTCTCCAAAGCTTCTTTTAAGTTCTCGGGCTTCCTTCCTCCAGCCTGTGCAAAAGAAGGTGAGCCCCCTCCTCCTCCACCACACATTTTTGCAATGTTTCCAATAAACTTACCCGCTTCAATCCCGCGACTCACTACTTGAGGACTGAAAGCTGCAACCAAGCTCACCTTCCCTTCCCCTGCAAATGATCCCAATACAATTGCAGCTGGGTCCCTCAATGTATTAATGAGATACTCCGCAGCAGTTTTTAGGGAATCATTATCGAGATCATCCACATATTCGACGAGAAGTCTGGAAGCCAAAAGAGCTCAAACTTTCAGGTAAGTTGAATCATATGTGTGTGTGCGTGTGGATGGCTGGGTGTGTTTGCGTGTGTAAACACGAGAGAGAGAGAGAGAGAGAGAGAGAGTGCAGTGATCAACAATAGAACAGGCATCACTTGATGGTATATTTTGATCATATTTTAACCTGATTTTTGAACTTCCTATGGAGGACACTCTACTTGCAATTGCAGAAGCCTTGTATGTTGCAATCTGTGCATGAAGTGTTGAAACTTCTCCTCTTGCTGCTCTCAGCTCTTCCATGAGGCTTTGCACCCTTTTTGGTACATCTTCGGCTTTAACCTTTTCGGCACAAAAAGTGGCACCCAAATTCAGACATTTTGGCCCCAAGTCATCATGGCCAGATATGATTTAACAGGCATGGGATGCAAAATACTAAGAAAAACATGGAGATGGTATACAAAAAAACAAATGTCGAGAAATAAAGGACCAAATAGTGAACTATTTCACAAGTGCTAAGAATATCGTTAGGTCGCAACTTTAACCGAACTTTTCCTTCTTACTCTAGAACAGTAACAGATACAATTGAATTTCCAACAGCAACTGTAGCAGTAGCAGATACAAGTGAATTCCAACAACAATTCTGGCACTAGCAGATAATAGTGAATTTTCAATTGTGATTATGGCCGGCCTAAGTTCAGCCAGGAAACATAACAATTACACTACTCTTTGAATCTAACATTGAAACAGAAACTCTGCAATAAAGACAGTTGAAGCATAGCATACACAGGACTATCAGAAAAGAGAAAACAACATGCCACCAGAAATGGAAGATTTTTTCATGTTCAAAGTGAAGAAAAGGCCACAAAGAAGCAGAGTTTGTTGTATTACTTTCTGCAAAGAGAGACGTTAAAAAGCATCACTCTTGACATCAATGAATTGGTAGAAGGCAAGTGCACAAGTTCCTTGTTCTATCATAGGGTTTTTCTGTTTAACGAATGCATCGATGTATTAGTTGATAGTGGATACAAAGACTAGAGCAAATTTCCAAGCCGAAAAACAAGGCAAAATAGACACCTTTAACAAGCCACTTACTAAAAACCAAGCTAAGTGAATAAGTTGCAATCCTTTAAATAACAATTACAACCATTTCTAGCTTTTGTATAACCACTGTAAATAAACTCAAATACCAACCCCTTATAGGGCAATTACATATAAAGCAAGATTAGCTTATGAATTACACTTTCATAGCGCAAATTATATAAACTATGTCCCAAAGCTTAAATACATTATGCAACTAATCTAAACAAAATTCCAAGGAATAAAATCAACTAAACAGGGAATTAGAATGCTAAATTAAAATAGGGAAGCCATGTTTCGAACCCCGTGTGCCGAGGCCACGCAATCGGGCCCTATGAGGACTTAATATTGTCCCTTCGGATTGTACAAAAGTAGTTCAATCTCACAAGAGTGTCTAATCCAAATGGGAAGCAATTACACACATTCAAATAACTTCTTAAGATCTCAACATACTGGAATTATCATTCAAAACAGAATGCAAAAGGTTTGAATCGAATCGGATAAAGAACAAGACAGTTGTGACCAAACTACACACGGTGGTCCCTTGAACCACCAAAACAGTCTTGTATGGAAAGATTATGAACTCCCATATGTAAAAACATGATGAAAAAGTTCTGGAAATTGAGTGACACTCTGAGACTAAATTATTTGATGAATTTGAAGCAAAGTAATAAATGGATACTATGCATGATCATGGATTCTCACGGATATAGGCTATAACACATGTAGGACCACACTATGAATAAGCATGATGAAAAAGATGATCAAATGGGGATTCTAAAATCAATGAAACTTTTCTAAATTTAAAACTCCAGCAACTATAGATGCCAAGAATGCGATCTTATGAGAAAAAAAATTCAATGGAGTTTACTTCGATAAATGCACACTATGGACTTAAGCATAAGAAAGGAGGACCACCATCAAGATCACCATTAATGGAACTCTAAAAGCTCTCTCTCTTCAATTTTCTCTCACAAAACCCTAGAAGAAAAGAAGTAACAATTTTCCAAAATGGTTCAAGAGTTGAGATAGTTAGGGTTTGAGATCTCATGATGTGCTTTTATAACATGGGTGTAACCTTGGACTCAATCAACACCCATGATGCACTAATCCAAAGGCACATGAGAGGCAAATGTACCTAGCCACCCATCCCCATCAAACCACTAGGATGAAGGGATGTGATTTCATACCATTATCACTAACCCTAACCCTAAGTTATGCCACTTTACCATTTTGTCGTTGACCTATGTTTTTGTTCCAATTGTATCCAATATGGCCTTACAAAAATACCCTTAGTTTTTTTAATAATGTATTACAGTAAATAACCACAAAGGCTAAAAGGCAAAGAAGTAATTGACAAAGCTCACACATGTGGAGATATTCTACTTTATCAAAGCCAATCACTTTGTAGATCTAAAATTTCAAAACAATAAATTTAAAGATAATGTCCCCTTCACACATGTTTGTGACGATATTTTTTAACTCAAATTTGAAAATGCATTTTTTCTTTAATATCAAATAAATAAATTAATTAAACTTCACACATGCCATGCATGACTCATGTGTGAGTTAATTAAGACATGTGATAAAAGGGGCCTCAATTTATAACATTATATAACAAAATATCACAATATATAACAAGATGCCATAACACAACCCCTTATAAAACAAGCAACCAAATGCCAATCTAGTCCCCCCCTAAGGATCAGCGCCCAACTAAGCGGTGATCGTTGAGTGAGGCGTGGGGTGCTACATGGCAGACCTATGGCCACTCGGACGCCACATGACACTACTAGATCAAGATTAAACTGGAATTTGAGTCAAACGATTTGAAAACCCTCATTTTTTTAGCAAATAAAATTTCGAAAAATTCTCTAAAATTCGCAATAAATATTTAAAGTATTTTTAAGCAATTATTAGATGTTTCTCATCATTAGAAAATCAGACAAAAGGTATAGTGAGATCTCAGGCTCATAACTATAGGCATCGGAGTACTCCATTGGCTAGTCCCGAATGATGTTCCGCCGAGTCTCAGATCGACCCAATAGACCTATGTTCCACAGTCTAAAGCAGGGACACATAATTGGCCATATCAAAGCCGTTGAGCCAAAACTTCCGATCATTCGGCTCTCAGTGGATTACAAGTAGCATTTGTATCACCCCAAAAATTACACATACCCTCTCTTCACCCCAATAGTCAATTTTCAAAAAAATAAAATTCAATTTGCATCATAGATATGGTTAAAATGAGTCCCCTCCAACATTGAATCTAGACCATTCATTTTATGAATTTCAAGATCTAGGCCTTTATGAGCTCAAACCATTTTTTTTCTTTTTCAACATTTTTTATCTAATGATAACAAAGCTATCCAAAAATTTTGAAAAGAGAAAAATCCTTCCAAGGCCTAGATCGAAGCACCTTAACAAAATGGATGACTTATGTTGATTGGGCTAAAATAACACTTTCTAGGGTGCATTTTCAAATTTTGTGTTTTTTGTGATTATTCAATGGAATGAAAAGAGTGTACATTTAGAAATTGGGATCAAACAAATAGCACTAATATGGTTTTTGAAGGTTGATGTATTATATTACTATACAACTGTTGCATGGAATCCTTCCCCAAATTTAATTTTCATCAAAAATAAAATTTCTAAATTAGAAATAAAAACAATTAAAAAATAATTGGTACCATAGGGTTAGGAATAAAACTAGAAGGCACTGACTAGTTTTTTTAGTCCTTAGACTATCTTCCCAAACAACCCAACAAAGCCTATGAGCCACAGTCTTATTTCGCATGGGGTTTATGCTTGATCCATCAAAGTTGGCTAATAAATAGGAATGCAGAAGTAGTATCTAGTATGTGGATTACATGTTCCACCCTAAGGAGAAGTCATGTTCCAATGGACATGTGCACATATACCATTACGATCTATGGGGGTCCTCTCTTCAACACATGTACATATTGACCCTGTTGGGTTGCTTTCAATATATCTAGATATCATATGTTCATGCCATGAAGTTGTTATGTCGAGGATTTGGCCCTTGTTCTTACAAGCATCGAAGCTATGCAGGAGTACGTCTTCCTCCTAGCTAACCGCCACTAAGCATCTCTCCGATTTCAACGAGGGCTAATCTTGAAATCCTCAGTGTATTAAGCCACATGCCCCTCACGCCTAGGGCTAAAGGCTTTTGTTACTGCTTATTCAAGCATGGATCACACAACCTGGATGAGTCAATCTAGAACTATGAATCATACCTCACTGGTCCTATCTGGCCCACACTCCCAGTGGAGTGTAATCTCACCATAATATTAGTTATTATGTGTTCTCAAGGCATTTAAAGGCTACATACTAACATATGATAGAAAAGCTTGGTGTGGAGAGAAAGAGGAAGAGAGTGTGTGAAATCCCTCTTGAGATCTTACTTGGGGGTGCATGCCACTCTGAATAAGTATATATATTTGTGTTGTATAATTATACCCTTAACTATGATGATTTTGACATCATGGTAAAAAACAAAATATAAAATGACTAAATTATGCATTATATATTACGCACATATTCTGAACACGCCCCCTCAAATTGTACATCATGCTTGAACATGTATGATTTTGTCCATCAGAGAATGATGCCTTTCACTTGAGTCATGTGGTGAAGATAGCAACTGTCTGATTCTTGGTCCCAATTTCCTAAGGTCATCATCATCATCATCATAGCTTTTTCCCAATTAATTGGGGTCGGCTACACGAATCCCGGTCTGCCATTTTGCTCAATTAAAGGCCATACACTCAGTGAGGCCATAAGTTCCCATATCTTTTCAGACTTTTCTAATCACGTCCTTTTGGGTCTACCCCTTGTCCTTTTCAGTCCTTCCACTTGAACTAAATCGCACCTTCTTATAGGTGTTGTGCATGGTCGACGCACACTGGCCAGCCCACCTAAGTCTACTCTCTCTCATCTTATCGATTATTGGGGTCACACCAAAATTCTCTCGAATGGATTCATTTCGAATTATATTCTTTCTTGTCTTGCCACTCATCCATCTCAACATCCTTATTTATGCTACATTCATTCTATAAGTATGTTTTTTTGTCTGCCCAACATTCCACCCCATAGAGCAAAGCTGGTCCTACAATTGTCCTAAATATCTTGCCCTTCAGCTTCATTGATAAGGGCGATCACATAAATTCCAATTGCACATCTCCACTTTGCCTACTCAGCTCTAATTTTGTGCGCGATATCTTTAGCAATCTCTTCATTTT